ACAAACAACCAAATCACAATATTTGAATTTATTAGACAGAGTTCCTCTTGTAGCTATGTCCTGCACCCAAAAGGTGTGCCAGACACCCTGCATTGTACCCATTCGGTGGGAGCATCCCAACCCCTGCTACTTCCTCCTCCTCAGTCCCCCCCACCCCAACTTGAATTGAAATGAGTTTTTCTTTTATGTGGGCATGAATTAGATCATCTACTGGCTTCATAGTAGTATTGAGTACATTGGATATTTGCTTTTCCATTGCTGTGGTACTTTACTGAGAAGAATGTGTTTTAACTCCATCCAGGTTAATACAAAAGATGTGAAATCACCATCTTTTTTATGGCTGAATAGTCCATGGTATACATATACCACAGTTTGTTAATTCATTCCTAAATTGATGCTCATTTAGGATGTTTCCGAGATTGTATTTCTTAATATATTTTTATACTTTCCAGATACATGTATGATTTTATATGATGTTCCTTCTCATCTTGTTAGCTCACTCATATTAGCATTCAGAATACTGAATGCTACGTAGCCTAAATTTATACAATAATCTAACCTAGGTGCTGTTTGGGCTAAATATATATGTTTGAGATTCTATGAATTTTATTTGCATCAGAGATGCTTACTAAAGGCTGGGCATGATAGCTCACACCTATAATCTTAGCACTTTGGGAGGCCAAGGCAGAAGGATAGCTTGAAGCCAGGAGTTTGAGACCAGCCTGGGCAACATAGTGAGACCCCACTTCTACAAAAAATTTAAAAATTATCTGGGCATTGTGACTTAAGCCTGTGTTCCCAGCTACTTGACAGGCTCTGGTGGGAAGGTCACTTGAGGCCAGGAGTTCAGGGTTACAGTGAGCTATTTTCATGCCACTACACACTAGCCTAAACAACAGAGCAAAACTCTGTCTCAGGAAAATAGAAAAAGGTACTTACTAATAAGTCCTCTTAAATTTGGTAATATGTATGAGATATTTAATAAGTAAAATGTTTTTTTTGCAAGTGATTTTAATGTGCTTAATGATAAAAAACATGCAGTGTTTTATTTTTAATTTAGTTAAATTAACCTTTCATTAGAGCTTTATGATATTTAAAATTTTTTTCAGTTCATTTTCTTGACATCCTGTCAAAAAGAGAAAATAAACTGGTTTTAAGAAATATGGTCGGCTCAGCACCTGTGGCTCAAGCGGCTAAGGCGCCAGCCACATACACCTAAGGTGGCGGGTTCAAATCCAGCCCGGACTCGCCAAACAACAATAATGGCTGCAACAACAAAAAAAATAGCTGGGCATTGTGGCAGGCGCCTATGGTCCCAGCTACTTGGGAGGCTGAGGCAGGAGACTCACTTGAGCCCAGGAGTTGGAGGTTGCTGTGAGCTGTGATGCCACAGCACTCTACCCAGGGGGACAGCTTGAGGCTCTGTCCAAAAAAAAAAAAAAAAAAAAAAAAAGAAATATGGTCATTACAAAAGAATTTAAATAAATTGTACATCTTTCAGCATTGATTTGAGAATATAAGTATTTTTAAAGAACATTACTATTTAAATGTAAATGGACAGCTAAATTTATATTGGGCCGTACATGTATAAGGTAAATTAATTTAGAACAGGAGATATCTGCCTATCTAAAATATGTAAGCCTCTCTCCTTACACTTGAGACACATATAATCAGATAAACTTTTAAATATAGTGTCTGTTTGAATATCCTTATTTAGAATAAAATGGTTTAAAGGTAAGGCTAAATCTTAGTAGTGCTGGGTTGGAAGAAGCTAGGAAACAAGTGTTTCATTTAGGTTCAGATGCAAATAGCTATCTGTAAATGTTTTATTTTTTATAACTTAGCAAAGTGGAAAACATTTTATTACTGTAGTATATTTTAACTCCTTTCCTAATGAAAACTGTCTATTGAGGAAGCTGAGTATAATGCAAAGTATTTAGTATTTTTTGTGTTGTTTAGACCTGATTTTGAGTCTCGGCACAATTACTAGGTTTTATTTGTTTACATTGAACAGCCTATTTAATTTCCTTGAATGTTTCTCATGTCAAAATAGGAGTAACAATACTAACTTGGTGAATCGATATGAAGATTGATTACTATGTATTAAAAGCATTGAATTTAGTACTAGATATAATAATAGTCATTCAATATAGGTTCACTGTTTTATAATTATTATCTGAACCATTTGGCTAAAATTGAATAGGTGCAATTATTCAGAGAGTTTTTTAACATACATGAAAGGTGGTAAGGTGTTTAATAGTATTTTGTGGGTTTTTATCAAATTCTGCAAATATAAATTGTGTCAGCAGTTAGTAGGGTTGTCTTTCTGGTGGACTGTTTCTTCTGAGTGTTTCACTGTTCTCTCTCCAAGGGCCGTGATGGCACCAGTGAACATCTGGTCATACCAGTCCAATAGTAGTAAGGCCATTGTAGCTTTCATAGACGTTAGGTTTTCTGTCATCATTTAGTTTCTCAAGTTTTGCTTGTACTGTCTATATGTTAGTTTGGAAAATTGTACCTAAAGAACTGAAAATGTAATTAAAATTCACTGTTAAACTTGAGAAAATATTAACATATGCTTATATTGCTTCAAAACGTAGGACTGAATTTTATGTTTCCAGATACAAACTAAGACTTTATAAAAGGAAAGCTTATTGATAAGCAGATAGAACAATTTATTCTTTAAATATTGACATAACTGTAGGAAAAGTACATATCCTTATATAAGCAGCACTTAATATGTGTCTACACATGCAGGCTGGCCATAAAGTTGGTATGAAATTTAAATTTAAAAACCAGATTAGATTGTGGTTAAAACTATGTAACTGGCATTCCTGGGTTCTAATCCTGATTCCACAATTTTATCAGCAATAGGATCATAGAAAGATAATCTCTCTTAGCTTGAGTGTTTATAGAATAATAAAAGTTAATAATGGTTCTTTATAGGATTGTTTTAAAGATTGGTACACAAGTAGTGCTGAAGAGGGTATCTGCCATATTATAATATTCATTGTAACAGGTTCAATATTATATTTGTATCTTTAAAAAAAAAACAACTGTATTAGCCTATTCTTTTTTTTTGAGACAGAGTCTCTGTTGCCCAGGCTTGAACACTGTGGCCTCTGCGTAACTCACAGTAAACTCAAACTTTTGGGCACAAGTGATCCTCCAGCCTCAGCCTCTCTAGAGTAGCTGAGATTACAGGCGCTTATCAAAACACCCAGCTAATTTATTATTTTCTTTTAATCTTTAGTAGAGACAGGGCCTTGCTCTTGCTCAGACTGGTCTCCAACTCCTGAGTTTGAACAATCTTCCCACCTTGGCCTTCCAAAGTGCTAGGATTACAGGTGTGAGCCACACATTTGCTTTTTCTTAAAAATAAGATGTTTATTATTGAAAACCATTTGAACTTGGTAAATTATGTTGTCTTTAAAACCAACAATTTTAAAATGAGATGTTTTCAAGATTTTAATATTTCATCTGGAAAACATTTGTGATGTTTAAAATTGATGTAGTTAATATTTAATTGAATTCATCCTCAGTACTTAAGTAGTTAGTGAATTATGTGTGTGTGATGTTCATTAAGACCAGTATGATGGGCTCGGCACCCATAGCTCAGTGGTTGGGGCACCAGCCACATACACTGGGGCTTGTGGGTGCAAACCCACCCCAGGCCTGCTAAACAACAATGACAACTACAATAACAGCAACCACAAAAAAAAAACAATAGTCAGGTGTTGTGGCGGGCACCTGTAGTCCCAGCTACTTGAGAGGCTAAGGCAAGAGAATTATTTAAGCCCAAGAGTTGAAGGATACTGTGAGCTGTAACGCTACGGCACTCTACCTAGGCAACATAGTGAGACTCTGTCTCAACAACAACAGAAGACCAGTATGATGCATATATAAAGAGTGCTAAAATAATAATAACAAAATGAACTAAAAAGGATAAGTGTCTTTGCTTGAGCTAACCCAACAAGGAGAGACTGTCTTGAAATGTGTGACTCCAGTGATGGCAAAAGTATTCCTCTATTACCATGTATCTCGATAACTTGAAATCTGGGGCTGCAGTCAGCTGTGTTGATGAATGGGAAGAAAGAATGTGTCACCATTGGATATATAGTCTCATAGTGTTTCTTGATTTATAGTTTGGGAGTGTTCATTGGGATAATCGAACTAATAGTTAATATTTTGTTTGTGGTTTATTTGTCCATAAAGACTATGTAATAGGGGAGAAGTGGTCCAGTCTTCTTGGCATCAAATTGTTACCCTTAGGATCTTAGCTCAAGCCATTTTCTTGGAAAATTGGAATGAAAAGAAATACTACTTTTTTTTTTAACCATACCAGTTTTATTTTATATTTTACTCTTTTTTAAATGACATGACAGCTCAGGTAAGAAATCAAAATGACTGAGATATGGCTCTGCGCCTGTGGCTCAAGTGGCTAAGGCGCCAGCCACATACACCTAAGGTGGTGGGTTCAAATCCAGCCCGGGCCCACCAAGCAACAATGATGGCTGCAACCAAAAAAAAAAAATAGCCAGGTGTTGTGGCAGGTGCCTGTGGTCCTAGCTACTTGGGAGGCTGAGGCAGGAGACTCACTTGAGCCCAGGAGTTGGAGGTTGCTGTGAGCTGTGATGCCACAGCACTCTACCCAGGGGGACAGCTTAAGGCTCTGTCTCAAAAACAAAACAAAATGACTGAGATAAAACCATTAATACTGGCCAAAATTTGAATAGGAGATAAAAATCATTCATATTTTATTGAGGCAATATTCTCTCTCTCTCTCTCTCTCTCTCTCTCTCTCTATATATATATATATATATATATATATCTCCCGGTATATAAATAAATAGTTGTGGAATGTTGAAATACATCTAACTTAATTACAGAAAAGTAAATATAAAATTGTTTTGATCTAGGCTTGTTCTTACCTCTTTGGAACCCTAAAGATTGATTTCCTTGAAATAATTTTTGATTTTCTTTTTTTGGTCTGTTTTAAGGCCACAGAAAGTGAGGCTGGTGATATGGACCTGAGTGGGTTGCCAGAAACAGCTGTGGACTCCGAGGATGACGACGATGAGGAAGATATTGAGAGGGCGTCAGATCCTCTGATGAGCAGGGATATTGTGAGAGACTGCCTGGAGAAGGACCCCATCGACCGGACAGATGATGATATTGGTGAGTTTGAGCGAGAAAATGAATCTAAGAGCAATTCACAACATTTAGAGGACAGGACTGCTTGTCCAGTGACAGTAGAAGTTTTTGTATAATTGTTAATCATTTGGAAGTAAAGGCAAGCGTGTCGCATTACCTAGATTGGCATTGCTGGACTATAAACTTTCTATACCAGTAAAAAAACAAAAGAACACTTAACAGATAAAATTATCTGTTACAACAGAGCTGGAAACTATACAAAGTCATTAACTTGTTAAATTCCTTTGTATAAACAACAGTATTCATTGAACAAAATTGGAAAAAGTCGATTTTCCTCTGTCAAGAGTCTACAAACAATCCTGTGAATGAAACTTCCTAATAAATCCCTTCCACATAACCCTTTTCTCAGCTTAGTTTATGACAAACAAAAAAAGTAGTCTTACAAAGCAGTATTACTTTTGTTAATTTTCTTGTGAGCCACTTGGGGGGGGGGGGCGGTAATAGTGTCATGTAAATGAATTGGCCTCTACCCTAAAGTAGAGACTGGGTGGAAGAAGACAGCAAAGTGTCAGGTTAGCTGGGGGGATTGAGACTTTCTTTAAGTACACCTCTGAGGTTAAAAATGGAAGGGGCTTTATGACCACTTCTCCATTCACAGCAGGAGTTTATTTCATAATAATGGTTTTGTGTTTTGACGGTGCCTCCCACACTCTGACTGTTTCTTTACGCATTCAGGTGAGGACTACATCTCTGGAGAGTCACTTCCCCACCAGAGGTCCAGAATCCATCACCACATACGCCTTAGCCAGTTACCTCTCTGCCAGTCCCCTGGCTCTTTGGCCAATATGTATTTGAAGAGAAATTTAATGAATTAGGTCTTTTGGGGTTAGGCATAGGATGGTGTGGGTCTAAGTTTAAGTGTGGGTGAGTTAAACTTATGCTTATAGTATTCATACATTCGAGTGAGACAAACATGTATGAGGAAAAACTTTACTATTTAAGCTATGTATGTGTGCTGTGAAATTAAAGATGGAAAACCTGGCTCAGCACCCATGGCTCAGTGGGTAGGGCGCTGGCCACATACACCAGGGCTGGCGGGTTTGAACCCAGCCCAGGGCTGCTAAACAACAAGGACAACAAAAAGCCGCACATTGTAGCAGGTGCCTGTAGTCCCAGCTACTGGGGAGGCTGAGGCAAGAGAATCACTTAAGCCCAAGAGTTTTGAGATTGCTGTGAGCTGTGACACCACGACACTCTACCAAGGGCAACATAATGAAACTCTGTCACAAAAAAAATAAAAACAAAGATGAAAGACCAAAACTTTGGTTGGGTTAGATAATTAAAATTTAATTAAAATCATTATAGGAATGATTTTGTATATACAAATATCATACAGTGGTCATTACTCCCTCAGCAAGTAGAGTTGAGCACCTTCAATGTACTGGAGGTACCCATCGACCTTGCTCTCTTCACCAAACTGTTAAGGAGACACATGGGTAGCAAACAAGAAAAATCCATCATGGTGGTGAGCGCAGTGAAGAAGGTTAAGCAGAGGCCCGGGTGATGCAGGCAGGGGCATGGGCCGAGCAGCATGGTTCTCAGTCCCCCCCTGAACACCAGGGTTGCCCTTCCTTGTGTCTGATGCCTCATGTTCATCTGATTGGCAGTGTCCAACATTGAGTTTCACGTTCCCCTTCCTCACTTGCTTTCATGACTTTGATATCACACGTTCTTCTGATTTTTATGGTCCAAAATTGGCTTTTACTTTCTTGTTCTCTGTCCCTGCCAGCTTCTTCTTTTTCTTTTAATCTGTTAATTGCAGTTTTAAAGAAAAAGTTAAATTGGAAGAGTATTCAGCTTACTGCTTTGATCCAGAATCTTTGCTCATGGGGTTTTTTAAAAAAATTAGATGGAATGTTGCTTTTGAACCTGTTCATTTTAGAATAGTTGTAGAAGAAAATGCTGACTATTAAAGTATGTGTAGCTAAGACGTTCTGTTAATATCTATGAAGACTTCTCTCCCAGAATTTCTAGAAAGCAGAAGCTATACTAATTCCTGTAGATAAGTATAGAGCTATCTTTTTTTTAAATGTACTTGTCAATATAATCTCTACAGGGAATAACATGTATTTGAATACTAATATACTAGCAAACAGTGACTCCTGATGATTGCTACTATCAAATATACATTTATTAGAAGTAATAAATCACCAACATTAAAGGGAAGGCCTGGGAGGTGCCTGTGGCTCAAGGGGTAGGCCAGCCCCATATGCCAGAGGTGGTGGGTTCAAAACCGACTCGGCCAAAACCTGCAACCCCCCCCCCCAAAAAAAAAGAAGTGAAAGAGAAGTCTTGAAAGATCTTGTATTCTGTCTCCCTTGAAATAAAACCACATGTGAGAGAACCCTTTAGCCATCAGTCCTGTTAAATCTAACTCATCACCCAACATTTAGTTAAAAGACACCTTTTGTATGAACTACAAACATCCTTACAGAGTGATGTTTTCTCTAGAGGCCTCTCTTCCCACCTGCCTTCCCCCATCTCCACAAAAAAGGGGGCTATGGGTGTGTGTGCACGAGTGTTTAAGTTGAATCAAATGCAGTTAATAATATTTGATCATATTTTTACCAGCTTCAGGAAGGAAAAAAGTTTCCCTTTGGGTTCCCATGGATTCTTGGGTCTGCCTTCTCAATACTTTAAAGGGAGAGATTTCACTGTATGTATCTTCGCTCTAGAACTCATAACTTTGTAGGTACTCAATTATTGAATATTTATGAATTTTTTTTTTTGAGAAGTTGGCACATAGAGGGCTACTTTGATCTCTTTCAGACAACCCCAGAGATTTTTTTAAAATCCAATATTAAGCATTTCTTATGTAAAATTGAGTCAAACAAACCTAAGTTAAGCCAATTTTCTGATTTGGCTTCAGTTTCTGGTATCTGTAAATTGCTTATATTTTGAGTCACATTGACTACAAAGACTTTTTTTTTAAGGTTAGTATTTTACATAAACAGGAATGTTCCTTTCCTAACAAAATAGGATTGGTCACAATAGTGTATCATTCTAACAGATTAGTGTGTGATTCTAACGGATTGTTCTGAGAAATACAAAAGACAGTTGTCCCGCCTCGCTCCTCGGTGGCTGCTGCACTGTCCTCACAACTGCCCCCATGGCCATCCCAGGCTCTGAGTTCTCAGCTGCTCTGATCTCTTTAACTCTGTTATCTGTCATTATCAGTTTGTTTTGGGCCTCCTAGAAACAAATGCTTCTTTTTTTATACACCTTTTTTTGAAGATTGGAGATAGAAAAGTTCTTTATTTTTTTTAAATTGCTCTAATCTCAGTGTAATAGAGTATAGAAGTTATCACAAAACCAACGATACCATTATTGAATCCCTAAGATTTTTAAAAACTCTTAGATGCCATCTGGTTAAGCATCTGTAGATTTTTGATTTTTCAACTGAGCCTAGAGAATTATGTACACTTGCTATTATTGGATCTTCTCTGTCTCCTTTATCCTTAACAATATGTGATACACAGATAGTCTCTGTTCTGTTCTATTTTTTTAAGACTAGTCACTACTCGTATATCACAAATTGATTTCATGATCCACTAATAGAAAAGAATTTGCCAAAAAGCAAGAAACTTGTCTATGCAAGGTACTTTGAGATTTGTGAAGACATTTTATTTTTTCATCTTCTTTGATGAAAACATATATACTTCATCTTCTTCTTCTTCTTCTT